TGGTTTTGTGACAGAGCCCTGACACTCCCGTCATGTCTTGTTTTCATGTGAGCGCGCGGCTTCGAGATGCTCGAGCCGTGTGCTCTCATCTGCGTGTCCTGTTTCCTTGTTTCATGTTGAAGCGTGGTGTTCGGATCCCGGCACTCATGTCTTGTTGAGTTTCGGTTTCGTGTCGGGGTCCGGACACTCGCACTCCATGTTCTGTATTATTGTGGGAGCGTGCGGTCTCGAGTTCGCTTGGCCGTGCGCTCTTCTGTCCATGTGTGTTGTGTTTTGTGTAGCATGCGGTTTGTGTTCGGCCGTGTGCTTTTCTTGTTGTCTTGTGTTGTTGCTGCATCAGCTGCGTGCTTTCATGTCGTGTTTTGTCTTGTGCTGTGTAGCACGCAGCTTGGTTTTCGCTGGCTGCGTGCTGTCTTGTCTTGTGTGAACACGCAGCTTATGAGTATTCTCATTAGCTGCGTGTTCGTGTCTTGTTTTGTTCAAGCACATGGCTTGTGATTGTTTTGCTGGCCATGTGCTTGTGTTTTTGTTTTGTGTAAGCACATGGCTTTTGTCTTTGTTTCCTGTGTGCCATGTGCTCGCATGTCAATTGTCTTGACCTCACCCATCTTGTTACCTGATTATTGGTTAATTTGCCCCACCTGTGTTTTCCCTAGTTACCCTCCTCATTTGCTCCCTATTGATTCTCCTTGTGTTTGCAGTCCCGTGCCAGTTTGTCATCGTATCACCCTGGATGTGTCCTGCCTTGCCCTGCCTTGCCTTGGTCCTGTTTTTCCCCCACGGGGTAGTTTTTGTTGCTTGTTTTATTTTACTATTAAAAGCCCATTTTCTGCTGTACTGAGTCCTCGCCTCATCCCTCTACCCAAACCCTGACATTGCCATTGCTTACGCCAAGCTCTACTGTTTGAGTTACAAGAATGCTAGAACACAGGTTTATTATTATACAATAATATTTGACCACAGAATGCAGCATTTGACCAATCAGAATTCCAGACAGATGTGTAATAAGTCATATTAGGTTATGTGTATTTCATACCTGGCCTCTCTGAATTTTTTCAGAACCCCAGGACGGTCCTGGTTTCGTCTCCTTCTGAACCAGCGCTCCACTTGTCTATTTGAATAGCTGCATTTTTTGCACAGGCCGTCAATATCTGCCTGATAAGAGATGGAAGAGTGCAGAAGGGTAAGTGGAGAAGTATTGCAAACCATCTCATATCAGAAAAGAGGCATGTTGGTTTTAATATGACTGTGTATGCGTCATAATTCTGGATTTATATTGGCAAATACTACCTAAAAAAAAAAAAAAATTCCTAGTTTTGCCAGATTTACTGACTTGTCTTTTCAAGTATCTCAAATTTTATAAGGGTGTACAACTGAATAATTATTCAAGTAAATAAAATTCAATATCTACAAAACGTAAAGCATATAATATAGATTTTCATTTTTATAAAACACAAAATCAGACGCTTACATGAAAACATTAAATCAATTTATGAAGGGGCTAAAAATGCTTCATTAGCTGATGAACCTCAAGTACTTGATCTGGGTTGATGGTTTGATCGAATGAATTACTTATAATATTTTACAATTAAATCTAAATCTTAAATCATCAGACAGATTTACTACGTATGTGCGGTGGGTAAAAAAAAAAAAGGAAAAAATATGTATAAATCATGTGATCAAGATGAAATTGAGTTCAAATCAAGTTTCCAAAGAAGCTTTGCAGAAAATCTTGCCTTAATGTCTACAGCAGTGATTCTGCCCAGTGATGAAGTCAAAGGCGACTTTGAATCTGAGGTGGATCTGAATGTGATGTTGTGTGAGAGGGGAAGACGTTACCTGTCTGGGGTGTTTTGACTTTGTACTGAAATAATGGTCAAGAACAGCATTGTGCTCCACTTTGTATCTGGGATTCTCTGTAATGCCAATCGAAGCTGCAAGCGGTGCCGCTATCAACCTAAAAAGGCAGACATTAGTAGTTAGACCGTTTGCATTTTTTATTATATTAACATTAAGTTCAAAGCATAAATCATCCCTGAAGCAAATCCTTCATATGAATCATTTTCAGTTTCCTAACTTAAAGGTCCCCTGAAATGCTTAGAAACACGCAGCGTTACTCTATGTGTTGCCGTCATTTTAACTGAAACAGGAAGACAGGGCGGGACATATCAAGCAGCCCTGCCCCTTTTTAAAATAGCCAATAGCGTTCGTTTATATCATAGCTTGGGCAAGAGCCGTTCAGCTCCGTAAAGCCGCATTTGACAGGGTATGCCAGTCACAATCTCATCCATATTGCTATAAAATATAGCATTCTGTGTAGAATTCAAATAGCTCCGATACATTTTGTGGTCTGCGCCGACTCGCGCATGTGATCTGCTCCGTGCTATCGTGTCTCTGGCCCGGAGCAGAGTGTGTGTGCGGTGCGGTGGTTAGCGTGACAGCGCGAATCCAGACTTCTTTTTTTCCTCAATGGAAAGCATATTTACACTGTTTGAATCGTTCCCTGTCCCCTATATAGTGCACTACGTGCCATTCACTGTACAGAAAATACTAATTCTGTGGACAAGTGACCGATTTCAGCCGCGGCTTCAGCATCTATTTTATAGTGTAGGGGGCGGGCGCTTCGGATTCTAGAGAGCATTTGATTGGACAGAAAGTTTGATGAGAAGCTGAAGTACAATGTGACGTCAAAAAAATCGTTGAGCCGCTTTGGCGGAAGTGCCGAACTGCAAGCTTTGAATGCTTATATCTTCTAAATGCGAATTTTGTCACTGTTTTGGAGCACACTGCCTTATAGATAACCTTAAGACTAACATATTGATACTAACACCCAAAAAACTTTAATTTTGATTTCATGGGGACTTTAAGGAAGCAATGAAAAACAGTAGGTCAGCTGTTTTCAAAATAGTGTAGCCTTTCCAGTAGCAAATTAAGTTTCTACAATATTTAGTGGTAGCTTATCAGTGGTGACTGTCAGTTTATGTACATATGGCAGAAATGTACGGAAAAATCAATTTAAGACGTAATAAAACAGACGATGAACACTATTAACAGCAATTATTATATGATGCAATCAAACTTATAGCAAAATGTTTGTTTTGCTTTGTTTGTTTGTTTGTTTTCCAGAAGGCAACATATCGGTTTTAGGTCTTTTTCATATTGAAATATTTAGTTAAAAATTTGGTAATTTGTGTTTAAAACTCTATGTACTCTGATGTTTTTATTTGCATTTAGTTTATTAAACCAAAAACCAACACAGATCTGCTTAAATTATGTAATCAGTGCAAGTTTTATATTATTTTATATATACAGCTATGGAAAAAATTAAGAGACCACTTGAAAATACTCCGTTTCTCTGGATTTACGATTTGTGTGAGTAAATTTAATCATTTTTGTTTTATTCTGCAAACTACTGATACCAATGTTTTAACTTAACTTAACCTCTTAACTTAAGAAATCAATATTTGATGGTGATTGTTTCAGTCACAACAAATGAAAACATTTCTTATTTTGGCCAATTGTCATTTTTTGGGACAAAAAAAAAATAAATAAATAAAAAAAAAAAATATATATATATATATATATATAAATAAAAATAAAAAGACAATATTTTTATTTGAAATTTGGAAGAAATGTTATCAGACCTTTATAGAATAAAACAAATATTAACATTTTACTCAAACCCATACCTAGCGAATCCAGAGAAACCGAGAATTTTCAAGTGGTCTCTTCATTTTTTCCATCGCTTTATGTATATTTGTGTTTATATATCTATCAATAAAGTTAGCTACTTTTGGCAGTAGCTTATAGTGTAGGAAAAAAAACTGGTCTAAAAACAATTTTCCCTCATAAATTGCTAGTAAATGTCACAAACAATTACAAAGAAAGTGCAAAGTTACACATTTAATTAAAAGCTACATTTTTAAGTAGACAAACAAATAGTACTTTCTTGTAAAATGTACTCCAGTAATCTTTTATTTACTGTACAACTAAGAAAAAAAACATTTTTTACAGGGTAACTACTTTAAAAGGGTAGCTTTACTTTAAACGAGCTTTGTAGCTTGAAAAGTTCTCCAACACTGATCATATGTGTTGCAAAAAAGATGAACAAATTCTCACGCTGGCCTCTGAAATCTGCCCTCAAGTGATTGATCAAATTTCCATTTCCTGCAACATAACCACAGAAATTCCACAAGCGACTCACCTTTCAAACAGGTATCTGACTACAAGGAAGACTAAAGCAAATGGCACAGTGGCGTAGAGGTGGGATGCTCTGGCGTAGACGAGCCCTTCCTCATCTTCGAGATCTGCCCACGTGAGGTTTCCCGGCAGCCACAGCCGGTCCCACCACAACCACGCACTAATCGTCCCAATCATGACGGCGATCTGGTGAACACAGGCACAGCCAGATAAGATTTTACATGTCATGCTTTAAATATGTATAAGTGTTTCATGCCAACACCCCCCTTAAAAACATTGTGACTAGAACAACAATAAGCATCTTAGATTATATTACTGAATTTCTTCAAGGAAGAAGCTGTTCCTAGTGAGAGAAGATGAGTGCTTTTTAACAACAAACCAAAATTGACATCATTTACTCTCTTAAAGGAATAGTGAAAATTTGCTAAACATTTACTCGCCCTCAGGCCATCCAAAATGTAGATGAGTTTGTTTCTTCACAGGAACAGATTTGGAGAAATGTAGCATTGCATCACTTGCTCACCAATGGATCCTCTGCAGTGAATGGGTGCCGTCAGAATGAGAGTCCAAACAGCTGATAAAAACATCACAATAATCCACAAGCAATCCACACCACTCCAGTCCATCAGGTAATGTCTTGTGACGAGAAAAGCTGCAGGTTTGTAAGAAACAAATCCATCATTGAGATGTTTTTAACTTCTAAACATTGCTTTCGGGTAAAATATGAGTCCTCTTTGTATAATATTGTTTTCTCCAGTGAAAAAGTAATCTTGTCTGAATCAGGAGAGAAATATGCACAGATCAAGTACTGATTACAAGCCAAAACAATTCAAACCAGTTCTAAACCAATATGTTTGGGGGATTTTGGTGTGAGAGAACAACAGGAGATGGATTTTTTTCACTAGAGGAAGCATTATTATGGATTATGGATTTTGGCCAGAAGTGACAGTTTAAATTTAAAACTCTTTAATGATGGATTTGTTTCTTACAACCATGCAGCTTTTTTCTTCACAGGGTGTTAACTGATGGACTGGAGTGGTGTGGATTATTGTGATGTTTTTATTAGCTGTTTGGACTCTCATTCTGACGGCACCCATTCACTGCAGAGGATCCATTGCTGAGCAAGTGATGCAATGCTACATTTCTCCAAATCTGATGAAGAAACAAACTCATCTACATCTTGGATGCATGGCCAGAAGGTGAGCAAACTTTAAGCAAATTTTCATTTTGGTTCAAATAACTATTCCTTTAGAACACATTCATAATGCAGCAGTGCTCGTTATTCTAAAGAAGAGAAGTTTGTCTTCATAACTTATCTTCTTTTTCCCCTTTTTCATAGCAGATAACCTACATACTGTAATACAATAAACATTTTACTGTAGCATACATCAGCATACACAATTAGAGTTTATGGGGAACACATAAATATATGATTGTAGTATATTTTACAAAAATGTTCTATTATTATTTAAAGAGAGATGGAGATGTGGGGAGAACCTGGAGGTTCGAAGTTTTATTCTAGACACACAAAACAACTTCGCTAACAAATTAAAGAGTGTAATAGCAGTATAATCATAAAATAATAGTGTCATCTCATAAAATGAAAAATATTTTCAGTGCAAAAGTATAAACATTTGTACACTAAATACATATTTTGCAAATCAAGAATTAAATGAGTCAGAGTTATTTAACCTTCAAAGACACTTAAGTATTCTGGATGAATTCAGCGCTGTGGATTTATGCCATAAACCAAAACAGATGCTTATTATTGTCATTAATGTTTTACAGTACTCTCCTGCATCCATTTAAACCTACAACAACAGTGCAGTGAACGCAGAATCTTGATAATCCCAAACAATTAAAGGGTAAATAATCAAATTATGTAAAGACTATGTAAAGAAATTTATGGATCTGTGTTCAAATGTTTGAGATTCCGTAGCTCTCGTTCTATTTTTGAGCCTTAAATGATGTGTTGATGGCAAAACAGCTCAGTGATGCTGACCTGAGGCTAAACCACAAGCTCATACCTACACACACACACCTGATCTGGAAATACAAGTAGAGCTGGTGTGAACCTACATGTTGTTGTCTGATTTAGAGTTCAGATCCATTTAGTGAATTAACACGTGTAACAGCACTTCACACCCAAATACCATCCAAATATTAGCCGTGATATACTGTACAAGGAAACAAATCCACTATAGAGGGAAATATTAATGAGGTTATCACAAGTGAAAGTATTTCACAGAGACTAAATAATAACGTAATCCTGGGTTATCTTAAGTCAGGTTTCATACTGTCCAGACTGGGTTAGTAATTAATCCTGGGTCTCAGGTTCTGAGATATTTAACTGTGCAGTATAACACTCTTATTTGCATATTTACAAGGTTAATAACTTAAAAAAATTGGCCAAGTCAAAGGAAATATATCAAGCAGGTTATACAAGGATTTATAGCGCTGTGATGCGATCTCATTGCCCCCACACCTCAATTAATTTAGTAATAAATTCAAAATAACATCACTGGCAGAAATATTTTAGAAGTAAACTGTGAAAGTTTAGTTTATCCGTATTGGACTTAATACAACTATGGTGATATATCAGGAAAGGCAGTTAAATTGGTTGATATTTAGCTCTTTTGAAATTATCAGGACAGATTTGGCATTTCAAATGTTTGATTATACACACACATGCAAATCAGCAAATTAGAATGATTTCTGAAGGATCATGTGACACTGAAGACTGGAGTAATGATGCTGAAAATTCAGCTTTGATCACAGGAATAAAAATTGCATTTTAAAATACATTCAAATAGAAAACAGCTATTTTAAATTGTAATACTTTTTCACAATATTACTGTTTTTACTGTATTTTTGGTCAAATAAATGCAGCCTTGGTGAGCAGAAGATACTTTTTTTTATATATAACCTTACCGACCCCAAATTTTTGAACTTGTAACTAAATGCTAACCATTAGTTATTACTGTATTTTGACCTTTTAATGTATCTGCTCATATCCGTTTAACCATAATATAATTGTTCCTTTCTTATATTTGGACTTTGATCAGACAATATTAGCAGCACACAATGACAGTCTTTCTCTGTGACTGTACTATGACCAATGAGAACGGCCAGAACACCATGTCAACTGAACATAACAAAGAGCTCAGAGTCTGTTTGAACAAGACGCCGAGTAAACAGAGCTGCCTCCACGTGTACAGATCACAGAATTATTATCAACCCCATTACTGCCACACACATCTACACTATCACAAAGCCACTATCTTCTCTCTTAACCATTTCTGATAACAAGAAACTAGGAGAGTCGAACGGAATAGTTTGAATTCAAGAACTGCTTAACTTGAGCGCATAAAAATATTCAAACTTTAGCACTACAACACAAGTCACCATTTGTAAGAGACACATTTCAACAAATACAACAGCGCATTTCAACGCTTAAAGATTCAAAGGGACCATAATGGTGTTTTGCAATAGATAAAGTTCAACTGTCAAAGATTTACATTCTCTACTTTGACCAGACATCTCGATCTTAAATTTTAACATACGGTCACCAAAAAAAAAGCATCTCGATTAAAGCTGGTCAAGAATTTAATCAAATTTTGATTAGAGATTTCAAGAACAGCGAGAAGAAAGACTTTAATAAGACCAAAACAAAGAGGCATTAATCTACTTATGAATTATGACACGAAACAAACCCTGAATCTTCTCAAAAAGAACAGAAAGCCTGGAAATAACAGTAGATTTCAGTCTTAAAGCTCACACAGGCAGGTTTCCACAAGCTCGACTTTTCATTAGAGTCACTTTCCAGACAGCTTTCATAAAAATCCCCTTATTTTCTACATTTTTTCTCGTTTAAAACTCGAGACAATTACTGAAGAATGAGTGTTAAGTCATATTGCAAACCTAAACATGTAATAAGATCAGAAAAATCAATAGACCAAAGCAAAGAGGCATTAATCTACTAGTGAAGTTTCTTAAAATGTCCAAAAACCTATACAAAAAAACCTGGAATAAACAGTACTGTCCAGTCTTAAAAAAAAAAAAAAACTCAAAAGCAGGTTTCCACAAGCTCTACTTTTCATTATTAGTCACTTTCCAGACATCTTTCATAAAAATCCCCTAATTTTCTCCATTTTTCTCATTTAAAACTCAAGACAATTACTGAAGAATGAGTATTAAGTCATATTGCAAACCTAAACATTTAATAAGATCAGAAAAATCAATAGACCAAAGCAAAGAGGCATTAATCTACTAGTGAAGTTTCTTAAAATGTCCAAAAAAACAATAAAAAAGCAACAGAAAAACCTGGAATTAACAGTACTGTCCAGTCTTAAAACTCAACAACAAAAAAAACCCCTCAAAAGCAGGTTTCCACAAGCTCTACTTTTCATTAGAGTCACTTTCCAAACATCGTTCATAAAAGTCCTTCATATTTTCTCCATTCGTCTTGTCTAAAACTCAAAATGCATTGGCTAAGTCCCAACCGCTGGCATTTCATTTCGCCCAAGGTCAAGAAAAGCAGCACGCTTACCTCTGCTTCCTGTAAGTGTCTAATCTCTCAGGCCGCGGAAAGTGTGTAACATGACAGCACGGCTGCTCTGGAAGCCCACGGGAACACTGGTTTGTTTGAAATACTTTGCAGTCACACCCTGCTTTATTGCAATTGACTTGTTTCCTCCCCTCCCTCACCTTCCCGAGGTGAACAGGCCGAGGTGAACAGGTGGGTTCGCTCATGCACGCACAAAAACTGCAGCCTCACCTCATTTGCATTGTGCAACTGATAGAGCTGCAATGTGAGATCAGCGGTTCACTCAGCCTGACAAGACAAAGCACAGGCAACGACTCGGTACCACGGGGTGTGTTTGGGGCAGAACACGGCATCTGTACTCGCACAAATGAATTACCTGTAATACAGGAGACACCTTTAGGTATTTATAGCAGTTGATCGCAACTAGTGTTACTTCAGGACACAGATTTTACATCGAACATCACGTGGTGAACAAATGCAGCGCTAGGTGCATAAAAAGTCAATAAAACATCCTGAGTATAACACTAATACTGCATTGATCCAACAATTTCATTATTAAATAGGCAATTCTGGTTCTCTTGAATTTCAATCATTTCACCCATAACACATTGTGACTGCATGCAAGTGAACCCATATTTCACTGAATTATCTTTTCCCTTCTTTTATCTCATTTAGACTTCTATTAAGCAATAGATACATTTTCACCGAAATTATTTCGCTTTATTAACTATGATCATACGGTTGTTGCATTAAATTAGTTGTATTTAGTTTAGCTTTTTTTTTTCCTGCTTTGTTTGGAGTTGGTAAGATTTTTAATGTTTTTGAAAGAAAATGCTTACCAAGCCTGCATTTATTTGCTCAGAAACGCAGTAAAATTGTGAAATATTATTACAATTTAAAATACCTGTTTTCTATTGTAATATATTTTAAGATGTAATTTATTCCCGTGATGCAACGCTGAATTTTCAGCATCATTACTCCAGTCTTCAGTGTCACATGATCCTTCAGAAATCATACTAATATGCTGATTTGCTGTTTGATTATTATCAATGATGAAAACAGTTGTGATGCATCATATTTTTCTGGATATCATGATTTGGTACATACTTTTAGGAGGCATATATTTATCACACAATTTAATCAGGTTTATTTATATTGAGGAGCTTGACCAAAACGGAAGGTTTTGTCCTCTGGGATTCTTGATTAGTTTCATTAATTAAATGTTCCCCAGTAGCATTTAATGTGAAGAGAGTCTAATTATGGAGCAAGCCTAATCATGACATTAATATGAACAACAGCTGTGTGATCTACTGTACTGATGCCTTTCCTGTTGGTGACAGAAACAGTTGTTGGTTCTGGATATTTGCATATAAACTGATGGAAATTAGCTTGCTCTCATTAGCTGGTGATGTAATTTAAATGCTAACGAGGATGGTGTTGAGCCTAAACCCACCATCTCAATCAGTGGAATAAACCTGCAGTTTATACTGTATATTATATACATGCACTACATACACAGCGATCGCACTTACAGTCTGAACAACAACAACAAAGCTGAATCAGAGACCTGAGTCAAGAGTCAAATATTAATAAATGATTATAAATATATAATGAGATTATTTAAAATGTTGTGGAATGTTGCAATAAATAAAAAATACAATAGAATGCAAGCATATAAATAAATGAGGCGTGGAATTATTTTTCATGAAAAAAAAAAAAAGTGCAATGAAACCTAAGCATAAATAAATAAACCGGAAAATAAAATGTTAAATTAAATTCATATTTCATGAGGTTTTTCATTTTAAAGCATATTTCATGTCCGGTTTTTAACATGAAAAAAGCTTGACCAAAACGGAAGGTTTTGTCCTCTGGGATTCTTGATTAGTTTCATTAATTAAATGTTCCCCAGTAGCATTTAATGTGAAGAGAGTCTAATTATGGAGCAAGCCTAATCATGACATTAATATGAACAACAGCTGTGTGATCTACTGTACTGATGCCTTTCCTGTTGGTGACAGAAACAGTTGTTGGTTCTGGATATTTGCATATAAACTGATGGAAATTAGCTTGCTCTCATTAGCTGGTGATGTAATTTAAATGCTAACGAGGATGGTGTTGAGCCTAAACCCACCATCTCAATCAGTGGAATAAACCTGCAGTTTATACTGTATATTATATACATGCACTACATACACAGCGATCGCACTTACAGTCTGAACAACAACAACAAAGCTGAATCAGAGACCTGAGTCAAGAGTCAAATATTAATAAATGATTATAAATATATAATGAGATTATTTAAAATGTTGTGGAATGTTGCAATAAATAAAAAATACAATAGAATGCAAGCATATAAATAAATGAGGCGTGGAATTATTTTTCATGAAAAAAAAAAAAGTGCAATGAAACCTAAGCATAAATAAATAAACTGGAAAATAAAATGTTAAATTAAATTAATATTTCATGAGGTTTTTCCATTTTAAAGCATATTTCATGTCCGGTTTTTAACATGAAAAAATAAACGCACAATGAAATGTACAGTAAGCATAAATAAGGCTTGAAATGAAAAATGAATTTGTATTTCATGATGCAAATATGCATTTCACATCCTTTTCTATTTTACATGAAAAAATAAATAAATGCATTTAATGCTTTATTCATTTATACTTTTTTTTTTTGAAAATTCCATGTCATATTTTATTATTTCATTGTTTATTTATTTAATTTAATCTATTAAATCCAGCATTCCATGTTGTATTTGATCATTTCATCATATATTTATTTAACTTAAATCTGTTAAATCCCTCCATAACATAAATTTTGATGCAAACATTTTTTTTTTAGTTCAGTGATATATGTTTATTCTCTGCATTAATTGAGCAGGTCATTACAGATTGGCATTTCTGATCCGTTTTAATCTATCCTTGTTCATCAAAGCTAACTAACTGCGTTTCTCCGGGGTTCAATGCTGCTTAGCAGTTTTAGAAGTGAGGTAGGGTTGTAGGGGAAGAGACCCCTGTTATGTAGTCTCTTTACAGCGGTCCTCAAGTCCATAAGACACACAAACACTTTACCTAACAGACAATCAGATGCATGTCCAGTCTGAACTTGTTCCAGCTCCATTACAGATTGAGTCCTACTACAGTCTGCCGCAGTATTCCCAGAGTTCCTGTCAGAAGCATGCTCTTCTGCCTCCTCGGATTCGTCTGAGCTCCCATAATCAACCAGTCGTGGGACATCGGTACCTGTTGACCATCTAGTGCAGGAAGCAACATCCAGCGTTTCTGAAACAGCAGAAGGAGCCTGAACAGAGGGATCGGTTCCTCTTCCAGCACCATCACAATCTTCGATATGACGACACGACCTACAGAAGGCCGTCCGCTCCTCACGGAGAAGCTTCAGGTAGCGGACGCAGTACTCCAGGAAACACGTCTCGGAGGAGATGAGGAAGTCAAGCAGCACGCTGTGGTCGAAGGAGAGGGAGCGGAGCAGAAGTATGAAATGACAGTGAGGGTTACAACCCCAGACACAAACCCCAGAGTCTGAGGAGCTCGAACTGTGAAGAAGGGGAAGGAATACTTGTCATTAACTTACTTTTCTTTGTTAAGACATATTCTTACCTTTCTTTTCTAATTAAAAACTGGTAGTACAGCTCCTCTATTTGTGAAAAGATATAAAAAAGACATATAGCTGTCCAATATACTTTTTAGCCAATTACTTAGTAAATAAACAAACAAACAAATAAAACATATCACAACCTTAATGTGCATTAAAATTTATTACAATTTATATATGTGTGTGTGTGTGAGACCCTGGACCACAAAACCAGTCATAAGGGTAAATTTTTTGAAATTGAGATTTATACATCATCTGAAAGCTGAATAAATACGCTTTCCATTGATTTATGGTTTGTTAGGATAAGACAATATGTGGCCGAGATACAACTATTTGAAAATCTGGAATCTGAGGGTGCAAAAAAATCTAAATATTGAGAAAATCACCTTTAAAGTTGTCCAAATTAAGTTCTTAGCAATGCATATTACTAATCAAACATTAAGTTTTGATATATTTACAGTAGGAAATTTACAAAATATCTTCATGGAACATGATCTTTACTTAATATCCTAATGATTTTTGTCATTAAAAAAAAATCAATAATTTTGACCCATACAATGTATTTTTGGCTATTGCTGCAAATATACCCCAGCGACTTAACACTGCTTTTGTGCTCCAGGGTCACATATATGTATGTATATATGCATATATTTGAAAAAACAAAATTTTTGGTTTGAAAATTAAATACTTTGACTGTATTTAGCAGGTATGCATTAAACGGATCATTTAAACTGTTATTTATTTAAAATAAATGCTGTTCTAAGAATCCTGAAGAAAGAAAAATGTGTTTCCACATAAAATATGAAGCAGCACAACTGTTTTTTAACATTGATGATAATAATAAATGTTTCTGGAGCAGCAAATCAACATATTAGAATGATTTCTGAAGAATCATGTGACACTGAAGACTGGAGTAATGATGCTGAAAATTCAGCTTTGATCACAGAAATAAATTACATTTTAAAATATATTCAAATAGAAAACAGTTATTTTAAATTGTAATAATGTTTCACTATTTCACTATTTTTACTGTATTTTTGGTCAAATAAATGCAGTCTTGGTGAGCAGAAGAGACTTAAAAAAAAAAGAATAATAAAATCTTACCAACCCCAATGATAGTGTATATGTATATTAATAGGCCTGGCCTATTATCAGGCAATATTTCAGTATATTATGAGTTAATATTGTTAAAAATGTATGCATATTTAATTTCATCAATGTTCTACATGTCTCTAGATATCAGCATTGGCCTCAGAAATACCCATTTCAGCTGGAAGAAATACAGATTTTGGTACAGTTCCATAAAACAGGATGTATAAAACCGATTCCAAACCTTTTCTGATATAAATACAAGCCAATCAAAGTCTTGGCTGATTCCATCATGTCGTCATCCTGTTCAGCAAATACCGCAGACACCCAGGAGCAGCTGTGAGCGTCTGGAGACATCAGAGTCCCGTGACGCTGGAGGAACGACATGAACTCTGTTAAATACCCACAGACCTCAAAGTCACTCTGAGATCCTGAAAACGACAAGAAAGACATGTATTATGAAAGGATGTGTCGCCCTCTGCTGTTGCACATGATTAAATGACGTATTTCATTCTATAAGAGCTATGGTGAAGCACTTAGAAAGATTCCAACATGTCAGTTACACCCAAACAAAGGTTGAATCTGAAACTGCATCATTTCCTACTATATAGCAGGCAAAAAACAGTATGTGAACAGAGTAGTATGTCTGAAAACAGTGGGCAAAAAGTGCCTGGATGACCTACTGTTTCTAGCGAGATTTTGAAGTGTGTATCTGATGGACACTTTACTCTCCCGAGGCCACAGGAGAGGATTTGCAACACAATTGACGCAGGTCGGTCACATGACAACATGTTAAATGTAGTACGTCCGGGTTACATTCACACTATACAGAACAAACGTACTTTTCAATGGTTGCTAATTAACTACTTGTTCAAAAGAAGGACCTTCTCAGAGAGCATGTGATTTTGGACGAAGCCAAAAATTATTACAGTCGAGTGATTCACAAATACTTTGCAAATCAGTGCATCTGAATCATTCAAAAGATGTGATTCTTTCGTGAACAGGACATAAATACTGTGGTGGCACCAGTGTTTTAGTATTATGTATGTACTTTTATAGTATATATTAATATTTTGAACTAGTTTTTTTTTTTTTTTTGTATACATTTTAGTCATTTTATGTGCTTTTGTCAGTATTATTACTTTTATATATATTTCTATTTAGCTTTTATTTATTTTTATTTTAGTTTGTTAATTCATTTTATTTTAGTTAAATAATGTAGTATTTAATTAGTATTTTTTTTGTATTTTAATTAGTTTGTTGAAGTTATATATTCAACAAACATGTGTTATATATAACATATGTGAACATGTTATATATTCATACAAATATATATATATATATATATGTATCAGCTTCATTCTAAGTAACAAAAAAAAAAATGTAATAGTTGATACTGCTCATTCCAGTATGGAAGCCCGTTTCCGCCACTGAATAAAAAATGTAAAAAAGGTAATTGCGACTTTTTATCTCGCAATTCTGACTTTTTTCCACAGGATTGTGAGATATAAACTCGCAATTGCAAGTTATAAACTCAAAATTGCGAGCTATAAAGTCACAATTGCAAGATAAAAACTCGCAATTCTGACTTTTTTTCTCAGAATTGTGAGAAATAAACTCACAATTGCGAGTTATAAAGTCAGAATTGTGTGATATAAACTCGCAATTGCGAGTTAAAGTCCAATTTTGAGAGGGGGAAAAAGACTGATATGTTCTCAGAATTGTGAGTTTATATCATGCAATTCTTTTATTTTTTATTCAGTGGCGGAAATGGGCTTCCATATTCCAGTATTATCACAAATGTGACAGTTTTAATCATATGAAACAAAGGTAATGATTTATTACCAAAAAAATAAATAAGCAGCATTATTTCTAGCCGTGTTTTTCATAATAGCAAGTGTTTCTTATTCCTTTAAAATAAATGTAACTTGTGTTCTATTAAATGAGTAAGAGTGTTTTAACACCTAGCAACCATTCAGATCACCGTAGCAACCATTTATCAACACTGTAGCATTCGCTTAGACTACCTTAGCAACCATATAGCAAACTAAAACTTTCAGACATCAAAATACTTTTTTTTCCTTTCAGGCTAGACTTGTAAAGTTTGTTTTAATGAACTTTGATTTTCTAGCTGCTAATATGATACTGTGAAAATGAATAAAGCCTAGTATGACAGTTACCTTTGCATCGAGGGGACTGGATGTTTATTTCTAGCGACTTCAGCAAAATCAAGCTCACGGCTCTCAGAATCACATCATCCTTCTGCGTCTCGCCGAGACTCACATCACAGTTCCCACCGAAGAAACTGGCTTGAGCTTTCACAGGGACTTCCTTCAGCCAGCCTGCAGTGACTTCCTGTAGCACACCATCTGCCATGATCAGCGCGTCCTCCGTCAGGCCGTGATCTTCACACTGAGCTTCAGCTGAAGCCCAGTCCTCCCCGGCTCTCCGCAGAAGACTTCTCTTCAGAAGAAGCAGCGCTCGTTTCTTCACGAAGTACTCCACCTCAGCTCTCGCGACGTGAAGCAGCGCTCGCGACTCAACGAATACGACTCTCTGAACTGAAGAGCAGACTCCAAATCTGAGCCGGGCAGCGCTGAGGACTTCAAGGAGGTCAAAGAACTCACACATGGTCTTAGAAAGTTTCAAAGGCTCTCTTTTGTGAGGTTCCTGTGTGTCTGGAGTCAGAAGGTTGGTGAACAAGTAAGCGATGGAGGAATCCAATCCAGAAAGAAGCTTCGTCAGAACATCTGTGGAGAAAAACCAGCAGTTGGTATTAAGAGATCATGTCCTCTGAAATGAGAAGGCAAAGTTTGGTTGGTTCAGTCTGATGTAAATAAATGCTCTTTTTATGTCTATAGTAACACAATATACTGTGTATTAAACCCAGTTATGCATTTATAAATTATTTTTATATTGCTTCAAAAATAACTACAACCTTTTGTAATTTATTTGTTACTACAAACTGTTGTTTGACTGCCATTCCAATAAGAAGAAGTTGTTGTTGTTGTTGTTAATATTAAAAAATATTAACAATAATAAACAATATCTTCCAATATGAAAAGAAAAAAATTATAATGTCACCTTATTACCATTATTCTTTCATGTTGGAGGGTACTGTTTTATAATTATTAATTATTATTATTTTAAAAATCATGAAAAAATGGGTTGAAAATATGGTGACTTTAATAATAACAATAATAATAATAATAATGTCACCTTATAACCATTATTCTTTCATGTTGGAGGGTACTGTTTTATAATTATTTATTATTATTATTTTAAAAATTATGAAAAAATGGGTTGAAAATATGGTGACTTTAATAATAATAATAATAATAATAATAATAATATCACCTTATAACCATTATTCTTTTATGTTGGAGGGTACTGTTTTATAATTATTTATTATTATTATTTTAAAAATGATGAAAAAATGGGTTGAAAATATGGTGACTTTAATAATAATAATAATAATAATATCACCTTATAACCATTATTCTTTTATGTTGGAGGGTACTGTTTTATAATTATTTATTATTATTATTTTAAAAATGATGAAAAAATGGGTTGAAAATATGGTGACTTTAATAATAATAATAATAATGTCACATTCTAAAATCTTTTTTTTTTCATGTTGAATATACTGTTTTATTACTATATTATTATTATTATTAATAATAATAACAACATACAACATGAAAAAAATAATGTTTGAGAATACAGTGACTTTATTATTATATTAATAATAATAATAATAATAATAATAATATAAAACTACCTTCGACAGAATGAAAAAAATTATTGTTTGAGAATAAAGTGATTTAATAAAAATAACTCACCTTATTCTCAAACCATCCAATGTTGGAAGTATTGTTTTTTTAATTATTATTATTATTTGTCGTCAAATACTTAGTAAACACGTCATGCTGTATATACTCACAGAGATTTAACCTAGCAACTAATCAACAATTTATTTTTTACAAGTTCATTTAGATTCAGATGTAAGTGAACGTGATAATGAGTGGATGAGTTGTTTTACATTGTAATTATTCCACCTTTTCTACCAGTTTTACATATTCAGTCAATTATACAAATTTTCTCCTGAGGTCCCGCCTCTCTCGTCACCTTGAATAAAACCGTGAGTAAGGTTCTACAGATAAGTTACAAAAGCATAATAAAGAAACCCAGTCTGAATCATCTGTCTGTGTGTGAAGACTCTTCAGTACCTCTCTGATTCTGGCCTGTGTCTCCTCTCAGCACTGCTTTAATAACAGCGGTCAGGGACCACACACAGGAGTCCAGTTCACTGCTGGCCGCTGATTTCTGAAACACTTCAGCACATGTATGTCTCCACATCCAACTGCTGCCTCCCTATAATCAACCATCACTGCACTTAGTCAAGAGAGAGAAATCAGGAAAGAAAAACAGAGAAAACTTCGAAACCTTACCATACTCAGATGGACTACTAGATGATTTGTATGTCTACACACCTGTAAAATTTATAATAGTCCATGCTGGAGTTAATGTACAGTGCAGTACCAATACTCACAGTGATGCGAATGTCATTGATGATATAGACTGATATACACTTCGCAGATAAATGAGACACCAGTTGGTCTTGACAGCTGAGGAGGGTGACCTGCATCAAATATGAAATGTCTTAAGGCTTCATGTATAATCACAAATATGCCCAAGACACAATTTGACATAAGAATATGTATATACACACACATTTTAATGGAAATATAAATATTTTTTTAAATAATAATTTCAATCAGCTTTAATTAAAAGCAGTATAATAAATAGCGCTATGATGTACAAGTGCTTTATAATTTAATATAACATAAAATACAATATATATTTTGGACATTAATTTTGCTTCTGTATATGGATATATTTAGAATTAAAAATAATACTGAGATCATGAGAATTTTGTGGAAGAAATGTGCTTAATTGTGACAAAAATATTATCACAATGCAAAATAAAATTTAATTTTGATTTAGCACACCAGTTTTGCCATCAGATTCATTTCTCCAAACAGCCTCCTCGTCACATCTTCATAGAATATTGTGGCATCTTGTGGCAAACTCTGTGCCGTCAGTCTGCTAATGATGCTCTCAGTAAGAGTGAGACACAAGCACATGACGTCTGTGTGTGTGACAGACGGCGCAGGAGTGTTTGCTGTTTGACTAACACATGATGAGATTCTGCCGGCCAGCTCTTCACTGCTCAGACTGGGAGCAGATCCTGCACGCAACAGCCAGAAAATGCCTTGGAAATCCAATCCTGAGGCATCCATGATGAGACACTGTGAAAATAAAGGGCCAAAAGAATGATAATCAGTAAGTTATGTTTGAAACACATGTTTAGATGAAAAGACATGTCAATATGGGACTGTGATTTGTTCAGTTCATGTAAGTTATCGTCGGACGCAGCCAGTGAATCTCTTCAACCACATGCTCTGCCCTTCATCGACCCTTCATTCAGACGATCCAACAGCAGCACACCTGAATATGGACAATGATCGACAGGCAGAGAGTGTTTCTGATTGGCTAAAAAAGGGCAGGCCACTTCCTGACTCTCTTTTCTAGGCTGCTGCAGTGACAGGGGTGTACAAAGAAATGATATACACTGCCGTTCAAAAGTTTGGGATCAGTAAGCTTTGTAATGTTTTTTAAAGAAGTCTCTTCTGCTCATCATGGCTACATTTATTTGATCAGAAATACAGTAAAATTGTGAAATATTTATTGCAATTTCAAATAATGGTTTTCTATTTTAATATACTTTTAAAAAATAATTTATTTCTGTGATCAAAGCTGAATTTTCATCAGCATCATTACTGCAGTCTTCAGTGTCACACGATCCTTCAGTACCTATATACACTACCGTTCAAATGTTTTGTCAGTAATAAAGACTTATATTGTTAGAAAAGATTAAATGCTGTTCTTTTTAACTTTATTCATCAAATAAGCAGCACCTGTTTCCAACATTGATAATAACTCAGCATATCAGAATGATTTCTGAAGGATCATGTGACACTGAAGACTGCAGTAATGATGCTGAAAATTCAGCTTTGCATCACAGGAATAAATTACATTTTAAAGTATATTAAAATAGAAAACCAGTATTTTAAATTGCAATAATATTTCACAATATCACTGTTTTTTTCTGTATTTTTGGTCAAATAAATGCAGCCTTGATGAACATAAGAGACTTTTTTTTTTTTTAAACATTAAAAATCTTCCTGATCCCAAACTTTTGACCAGCAGTGTACCCCTTATTCACAATTTTGACTTTGTAATTCTCTAAAACATGCCAAATTCATCCAGTATACCATGAAATCAGTCCTGAAGGTGGTGAAAATTGTTATTATGGCTATATTTAAAATGCTTTAACAAAAACACGAATGCATTAAGTCACAATACAACCATTTGTACTTATGTCTAAATTAAAATTGTAAGGAAAAGTATGATTCATTTTGTAATTAATTGAATAATTACACAAGGGGGTATTCAGTTATACTATTTAGTTATATAACGTATACACAAACACACACAATTAAGGACATTTTGTGTCCATTCGCTGACAGCATCTATGATGCATTTCCAAATTTCTCAATAACCTTTCTAATTTTCCCGAAAAGCCACTGCATCAAGTTCATAAATAGAAAAATAACCTCATATTTAGAGGGCCGCAGAGTTTGAAACCTGGAGGTTTTTACGTTTGAATCCAACGACGCACGTGAACTGTAGAAAGACGCTGCGTACAATCATAATTCGTATCGTAACGAAGAGCTTTTTGGACTTCTCATTTATAATCCAAGGGAATATTTCTTCACCTCTGACACAAAATCCTCCATAAACCACATGGAGTGCTGTTTGCCGTTACACAGCCACAATTGTCGCAAAACTCTATTATTTTGCAGCGGTGTGATGTATGGATGACGTTCTTGACAGCTCGAATCCGATTGGCTGTTGCGGTTTGAAGCCTTGGAGACATGATGTTCATGGCTACCTGACTGTATTTGCACTCTGTATGTATATTATATATTTTTAATTTCACTGTCTCCCGAGTCTTTATCATGCTAGTTAATCAGATAATGTTAATTTTACCCTCTAGCCGCAGGTTTAGAGAGTTCGAGTAACTTTAAAAGCAGTGTTGTTGTGAAAATGGTCAATAACCGCTGGCTAAATGCTAACTATGCTAATGCAGTAACAGTACATGTCTATCACAGAGTTTGTCCAATTCTCCTTCAGTTTAATGGTCGTCTTCAGACTTATCGTCTCAAATACTTGGACGGTATCAACGTAAATTATGCCAGTCTCTAAAAAGAGCCGCTTTAGTGTTTGTTTTAGGGTGATTGTAGCTGCTTTAGCACACCAGCTAACAGATTCATTGTTCTCAGTGCAGCAGCAGCAAACATGATTATTTACCTTTTGTTGAACCTATTCGAGGAGGTGAAATGGTTACACCGCCGTTGATGGTGTATATCACGTATGTTTGCGTTGTTATAGGTAAATGTAGGTGTGCAGATGCTCGCTGCAGCTGTTTTGTTTTTTTTCCAGAGGCTGGAAGACAATAACATAGTGAACTGAAAAGGGTGGCAGTTAATATTTACTCCTAAACAGAGAGATGATTAATGTAACGTGACAGATAAGTGTGTAAATAAGACGCCATCATATAGGTGTGGCTAAATGCATCATTTATACATATAAATGCATCTGCTATGTAAATGATGAATATTATATATAAACGAATCATGTGTATACTTTCCTATGATGATATTTCTGTATCGCTCTGCTTCTCTAGAATGAAGATCTGAAGTGGACGTGAACATGGATGCAGAGCGCAAAGACTGTTTCAAATCTACAAGACATTAATGAACGGTAATGTTGGCTCATAGCTGAGCTTTGTAAGGATCTGTAGGCCATGGCCTGTTTTTAAATGTAATTTCTGTCTTATTGTATTATATTGTGTTGTCTACGCTTTTTCATGAATGGTTTGATGGTTTTGGTCTTGATGCGATGCAACTAACATTATCAGTGCTTTTCTTGCAAGAATACTGTTATTATCTCACAGGTGATGTGTGCAGTTATTTTCTTTCATACTGTTTTTCGCAATCAAAGATAATTAATGTTTAGCCTATATATTTGTTCTATCATGTTGTCCTATTAAAAATATTTCTACAAATCTGCATCAAAGATATTTTGAAATATAGTGTATATATTTATAGTAATAACTCTCACAAATGTATTGCTTGTATGATATTAAGAACTTTGACACTCTTGTAACACAAAGAGTAATTTGTAGTTGTAGTGTTTTTTTTTTTTGTTTTTATTCGGATTTTACCAGATGTATTTTTTTTAAGATAGATTTTGAAATTACTGTTTATTTTAATGCTGTGTCCAGTAGCCTAGTTAACAATATAATTGCTATATAGCCTGCACATTTATTTAGTTATTTATTTAAAGATTTTACAATACATCTGTATTACAGCATTCAAATTAACAGTAATTCTGAAATCTTATATAATATTTTAGTTTTTCTTTTTTCCTCTTTATTTTTAATGAAGCATTGTGTACATAGCAAATTAATGAGGTATAGATATTAGAAACTAGGCTGATTCCCCTAAAATGTGTAAACACCGTGAACTCTGCATTTTCATAACTTTCATTGCTTTGTTTGTTTGAGAGATCAGACTGACATATTAATGTCTGGCTCAGCCAATAAAGTGAGTTTGAGGCAGGACTGCCTGTTTATGTGATCAATGTGGGATGGTGTTTGGGGAAAATTTGTTCTTGCAATTCCTTTAAACGTGCTATGCATAATTAATTAATCGTGCTTTGATTCAAAATGATGAGCTTGTCTATCAGTGTCCTTCGTAATGTCGCGCGTGTGTGCTTGTCTGCAGGGACACAGGAGCGTCTGAGCCCCGTACTGCGAGATGTGACAGGATGCTGAACCATCACTGCAGAAGGAACCCAGAGTTACAGGAGGAGCTGCAGATCCAGGCGGCGGTGGCGGCCGGCGATGTCTACACCGTCCGCAAGATGCTGGAGCAGGGCTACTCGCCCAAGATCAGAGACGCCAACGGCTGGACGCTGCTGCACTTCTCTGCGGCGAAGGGGAAGGAGCGCTGCGTGCGCGTGTTCCTCGAACACGGAGGTAAAGGGTTTGGTTTTTATGACGGTTGCGAGATGTGCAGATCTGATTTAAAGCATCAGTTGGTAAGAAAATCTAAAATGACCAGCCTAGTTTAACATTTATTAAAAACTGTGGTTGGTTTGCTGCGCTTGACTCTTAAAAGAATAAGTTCACCTAAAAAACTGTCATCATTTGCTCACCCTGAGTCATTCGGGCTCTTTATTATTGTCCTTATTATGCGAAACACATAATAGGCAAAATGTACAAGCTTCTCTTTTCCACACAACAAAAGCAGATGGAAATTTAAACTGCCAAGGTCCAAAAGGGACAAACAAGCATAATGAAAATTTGTGTTTTGGGTTCCTTTTTGTGTGTATTAATCACTATTTAATTGTAAATATGATCCCTCTCATGTAAATTTGATTTCAATTACTTTTCTCAATGATAACCAGTTTACAATGGTGATATTTTACTCTCTTGCACTCTATTTAGGTTCCCTATCTTGTCATCTTTTATGGCTTGAAACACTAAACTGGTATTGTGCTTTTTTGATAGACTGCTGTTCTGAAATGTTCATGTCTAGGTATAGTAATGCATGCTAGACGTTAGGGGGCGCTATAAAACAGGGCTGTCGAAACATCTGTAGATAGAATGATCCACAATCAAGTGTTTAACTTTGCAGCTGCGAAGCCATCTGTACTGATTGAGATGCATCAATTTACAAAGACTGTAATCAGAATAATCAATACCATGATATAGTGCTTTGATTCAAATATAGTAACATTATGCAAATGATGTAAATGTCTGCATACTCTACACAAGCTAATTATACACATCAAACCTCTTTATATATGTTATGTTTGCCCAGTGCATACATTTGGCATATATGGCCAACTTAACATAATGTTAGGGCTGTCGTGATTTATCAGGGTTATCATGATCATTGAAAGTCTATAAATATCCTAAATATAACTTAATAATATAACTTTAAAATTGTGATTTTTTTTTTCATTTTTTTTTCAAAAGTCATTGAAGTTACTGTAGTCAATATAAATGTTTCAAGTTATGTGCACACATAATGTAACATATTTCATTCTATAAATTTCTCTTTACAAGGGCAAATTCTGTAAAAAGGTTTTTATTTATTAGTCACAAATTACTGGAAATCAATTGGATAAATCATGGAAATTCTTTCGTTAAAAGCTGTTGGAACACAGATTTATGACATTTTAGCTAGCTAATTGTTCATACAAATAATTGTAATCAGCAGTTTAGTTATATAAAGTATCTTAAGTCCATTTTCCGTTCATTTTTTTTGCTAATCCAGCCCTCATAATATAATAATGCATTATTAACTTTTTATTATTTAGAAGTTATTGATTTATATATATATTATTTTTATTATGCATTTGTAATGCATTTATTAATTTATTAAATTTTATATGCCATTTTAAGACTTTAACATTTGAAGTACGTTCTAAAATGTCAGAGCTCTCATGTTACTGCAACAAAAAGAAGGACAAATAAATGCACATTTAATGGCACTTTTATATTTGCTTATGTAATAATTATAGCAAGCCTAATAAATATAAATATATAATTTTTACAAGCATTTTTTTTCTTGCTTGATATTCTTGGTTGTCAAGGCACCTTTATTTCTACAGCGCTTCATACAATACAGATTGTTTCAAAGCAGCTTCTCAGTAATGAACAGGAAAATAACAGACTCAATCATGCAAAGTTTTTCAGTTTGATTAGGTTTTCGGTTGAATGAGTTCAGTTTTGTCATGTGTTTATCTCTCCAGCGGATCCCACAGTGAAGGATTTCATCGGAGGCTTCACAGCTCTGCATTACGCTGCCATGCACGGCCGCGCCCGCATCGCCCGCCTCATGCTGGAGTCCGAGTACCGCACCGATATCATCAACGCCAAGAGCAACGACGGCTGGACTCCGCTGCACGTGGCGGCCCACTACGGCCGCGACTCCTTTGTGCGTCTCCTCTTAGAGTTCAAAGCCGAGGTGGACCCGCTCAGCGACAAAGGCACGACGCCGCTCCAGCTGGCCATTATCCGCGAGCGCTCCAGCTGCGTGCGCATCCTGCTCGACCACAGCGCCAACATAGACATTCAGAACGGCTTCTTGCTGCGTTACGCCGTCATTAAGGGCAACCACTCGTACTGCCGCATGTTCCTGCAGCGGGGAGCGGACACTAACCTGGGCCGCCTGGAGGACGGACAGACGCCGCTGCACCTGTCGGCCCTCAGAGACGATGTGCTGTGCGCGCAGATGCTGTACACGTACGGAGCCGATACCAACACGAGGAACTACGAGGGCCAGACGCCCGTGGCTGTTTCCGTCAGCATGTCTGGCATCAGTCGGCCCTGTCTGGACTTTCTGCAGGAGGTCACAAGTAGGTTCACCCTCTCTTTAATGTTCATAAGTGACCCTGGAGCACAAAAGCAGTCTTAAGTCGCTGTAGCAATAGCCAAAAATACATTGTATGGGTCAAAATTATGAATTTTTCTTTTATGCCAAAAATCATTAGGATATTAAGTAAAGATCATGTTCCATGAATATATTTTGTAAATTTCCTACCGTAAATATATCAAAACTTAATTTTTGATTAGTAATATGCATTGCTAAGAACTTCATTTGGACAACTTTAAAGGCAGTTTTCTCAATATTTGGATTTTTTTTTTTTTGCACCCTCAGATTCCAGATTTTGAAATAGTTGT